TAAGAGCATTTACAACAACTTAATCTCATTTAAATGACGAGCTGACGCCAGCAAAAACAGCTGTTAAAGACATTTTTTTTAATGGATCCTTTCTAGATGGTTTACGGCCACCACGTGTGCCCATGTTAGTGATAAACGAAAGAGTGATATGATAAGATACATTTTTGAAAGGTGGCCCCCAGATAGCATAGTGCGTAGCAGTTAGTCACTTCTTTTTATTGCCCTCATTGTTCGTGGTCATATAATTGCTGTTCGATTGAAAATCGCGCAGTGACCGCGTGTGAACACTGTTTTTGTTGTGATGGAGGACACTGGCAAGTTGCTGGATGAGGATCTAGTGCAGGAGCAGGAAGGTAGGAGCGGTGATTTTTGATCTATAGGGTGTTCCTAGGTCCCTACGACCGTATTTTATTAGCTGTACGATTAGTTTTAAGAGAAGATTATATGCAGTATTTTTTTTGCTCAGCTGTCCCTCGCATGACTTCTGCTAAGTTTTTGGGATCAGTCCAAAATAGTTCTCCACCATTGGAAACTTAATATTTCTTCTGTGAAGTCTAGAAGAAGCTAATCATCTAGAAGAAGAGCTTATGGTAGTTCCAGATCATGATGCCATCGACCCTGAGAGTGGAAACGATTATATAAAGCCCAGATCAGCTTTTACGCCATGGCCGCATGTTTTCAACTTAGCAAATTGCATAGTTGGTGTTTCAGTATTGGCCATGCCGTTCGTGTTTCAACAGGTTAGTTTACATGTATTTTTTTTTCTTGATATTTTTTAAAAAATAATTACGACTTATTTATTCTTATCGTGCCGTTTTTCCCTTTCTCAATTCCTTATCTCTCCGGCTGTACGTTTATCTCTGGTTCATTATGTTGATGACGCCTAGTTATTGCTGGTCAACATCCGGCCCTTTGCGTCGATAGTGTTCGTACATACAAGAATTTTGTTTGTGATAATTCACGCTCACTATGAAGCGCAGATATAACAGATAAAGCATGTGATAATCCAAAAGTAACAGACTGAATTTGCTTTATTTGTGTGAATAGGGGGAAAGATTCTAACTCTTCACATTCACGACCTTTTAAGCACATTTTCATCTTCCAGTCGGATGATAGATGTTTTAGACGAATTTCAGTAGATTGTTCAAGGAACCGACGAGAAATTGTTCCATATGCTTCTTCTTATGGTGCTCTTTCAGATCAGTGTTGACGAGTTTTGAAAAAGCACTATTTCAAGACCCTACTGCTTTTACCGAGTTCAAAATGATTGCAGAGGGATTCAGTAGAATTTAAATAAATATTTTTGAGAAATTTTAGCCTTTTGAGCGAGTTTGACCGATCAGTATTTATTTCATGACAGTTCCCAAGCAACATTTTAGCATCACCTTATTTGTTCATAATGTTTTCCAACAATCAGCGCAATATTTAGTTAGCCTTGAAGCAAAGTGGTAACAGCTACGTAGATTGTGTCAATGCTTTGGTATATACAATAATTCATAACAAAACCTTGATTTTTTTTAAGGCAGCTTGTTTTCTCCGAATTCTTTC